TTTCCTTTTGTTTGGCCAAATCCACACGTACCACACAACCCAGCGTCCAGGCGTGTCCTTTAAAAAAAAACAAACAAACAAAAAAAACGCTGAAACGCTGTAAAAACAAACAGGTGGCAGTTGATTCATGGCGTTTTAAAAATTATTATTTAACACTGTGTGAGGAAAAACACAAGCGCCTCTGTTGGGTGATCAAATGGGAAACATGCACACGTAATCCTGTATCTGCTGAAAACCACAATATCGGAATAAACAGCAAGATAGTCCTCGCTTCAGCCACCATTGCTCTGGCTTCTGTCAACATAGAAACAACAAACTCCACCCACCGAATACATACTACTCCTGTTATCCTGTACACATGGATCCAAAGTGTGGAGCGTTTCAATGAACTACTCTATGTATATATGAGGCTGTTGGCAGAGTATATTCTCTGGGAGAAAGCTCAGTCAAGTCTGAACCAAGACATTAAATTCATTTTGTGAAAGGTGATTAATTTAGGTAATCTCCCACGGCTAAAGAGAAACTGGTCTAGCCTCAAAATTAGATTCATGTTTGGCTCTCAAGTCCTTTTTTGTTTTGTTTACCAGGCTATTAAGGCTATTTTTCTTTAGTTTTGTTTGTGGTGTTTGTACATCTAACCATTCCTCGTCAGCATCCTCTTCGACCCAGTGCCTGAACCTCAGCTCTCACGTTATAACACCTGGTATGTGTGGACAGGGCTTTAGATTCCACTGTTTCTCTTCACTTTTGGGTTTGTTTCAGTTAAACCACATGTATCTGTGAGTCCTTGGGTGTCCACCTCTGTCTCTTTGTCCTATATTTTTTCTTATCTCTTAGTAAAAACAGATTTTTGACAATAATATATAAACCAAACAACCCACACTACCTGCTTCTACACTAGAAATAAATGTGTAAAATGGTGCTTACTCAAGAAAGGTAAATCCTTCCAAGAATTCACTCTTCTTCATCCTGCTTTTCCACCTAATGCCAGGAAAGAGTTCAGTAGTTACTCACAGTCATTTCAATTAGCTATGTAAATTTCACTGAAAGTTTTCAGCATCAGACCATAACTTCTTCCTCTAATTGTGATGGTAGGATGGAATTTGATTCAACTTTTAAAGGCAAAAAAGCTTAAACCTTCGATTTAACCACTGCCAAATGGGATATTCAGGCACTGCCCATTGGGGAAATGGATCAATGCACAAAATAAAGATGTAATATTGATTTGGAGGCAGCCTGCCTGCTTTACTATGAGACCAAAGACAGCTGAGAGTGAGATCAGGGAGAGCCGAGGCAAGACAGGTCAGAGAGCAGAGAATATTGGCCTGGAGCCCTACATCACTACTGAGTATCATTCATCTTAAAAGTGACTGAAAGCCACGTAAGTTTCTCGAGTCACCACTTAGAATCTCATGTTGTGAATTGTGACCAAATAATTTTTAAAGGCTCTTTAAATGTTTAACTAAGAATTGAAAATACATTTTAAATGAATGCATCCCTGAATGAGGAAAACATAACGACTTAAAAAATAATTGCAATAAATCATTTGTTTTCTAGTGACATTGAATTCACAACAAATAACGTCAAAATGGGGAAAATGTACTTAAACAACTCCCAAATCACCTTATCCAAAAACATTTGATGGAGAATCATTGTAAAGTAATAAGATATCTCGTATATTCACTTGCCTGGTTAAAATGACGAGGAGACAAATTGCATGTAGTTGCCATGGAAACACCAGTGGAATACGAAAGAGTGTGTCGTTTTATGCTTTTCCCATCTCTCTCTCTTTCTCCTCTCTCTCCTATAACCCCCCCCCCCCTTCACTCTTTGTATGTGCGTGTGTGTGTGAAGCTATATTTATAACAGGCATTACATAAGCACACACAACATGCTCATTCTGCTCTCGCCTTGTTCTTCTTGATTGGGTTTGACAAACTAACAAAAATTCCTTACTTAATATATGCAATATATATATGTATTCAAACTAATGAAAATGGCAAATAAATGCTACCAGAAATATATTATTTATTTTGTCTTACTCTCTGTCGACTCTCATTGCAATCCTTGCTCATTCCTTCACCCCAAGGAACAAGTTCAGCGTCTGGTTATTTTCTGACTCCAATATTTCCCTGCAATCCAGGAGACCTTATTGTTAAAGAAATGAGCAAATCAAAGATTTCTATATTGAAACCACTGAAACACTAATAATTCTCTCTCCCCCTCCACACAAGAGAAAATTCCTAGGAAAACCTCAAATAATTATACACTAGGCAATTACATGTTAGTGCTGCACGATTATGACAAAAAAATCATAAATTATTCCCTTGAAAGTGTAATTCAATCCTTCCAGGATTTTGCTGGATTTTTTTGTGATTGTTGCGGCCTAAAATGCCAGAATTTGCGGCTGCTTTTTGAAAAGTTGTGATTTTGACAGATTTTTCTCAACAGCATTGCATTATGATTTCACAAACATGTTCTGAATTTTTTACGTGTTCTTTCCTTTTATTATATCTATTATCTTATACCCTTTCTGCACGCTCTGATCACACACAGATCTGACAGCAGACAACTGCTGCTTCCTCAGGAGGCTGCAGCGCAGATTCAATTAAGAAAAAAATCATGTTGTCTCCGTAAAATATTTAGACTTTTAGCATTTTGTTGCCATGGCGCCACAGCTACGTCTATGTAGGAGAAACACTGGAATAAATGATGGATAAAACTACCGTGTGAAAGCATGAAAAATAGTTTTATTAACTGCCCCTCTCAAACTCACTAGCACTATCACCTTTGCCCACGCAAGTACTGCCTGACAACTGACAAAAGCAAACCACCACAGACCGGTTTTACAAACGTTTTGTAGTTTACCTTGTTCCTTTCGGTGCTTGCGATGGATTTGAATTGGCGTTAATTGGTGAATCACGATTTTCTGAAGGGACTGGTTATTGCGATTATTAATTACGATTATCACAAGGGATTGATGTTTTAAATAGCTTTTTACCATTGTAAGATTACACCGTCCGTTCACACATAACTGCAGTACGGTTTTTATGTAACCATGAAACACTCCGCACCCGGTGTCACTTCTGTGTCTCCTGAATGATCTGGAGGGGATCTGCAAAGAGTAGTGGGACATGACCTCGCATGATCTTTTTGTCCTTTAATGGATGCTGTTTGTTTTGGAAATGGGACCTAGTGAAAAAATATACAATCATGTGCCTTTTAAAAGAACAACATGTATGTAGTTGATAAATATGCAATTGGATAAAATTGTTTTTAAATTGTAAATTGAACACTGTAAGAGTCAGTTTAAGCTCCCTTTTAATTCTTTGCGATCAACTGCACAAGCTGCTGCTACACTTTATCAGTTGGGCACAGATGGCTATGCATATTCAGATAAGTCTTTCATTTGTAACAAAAGAATTTGCATCACTGATGTAAATGTGACAAGTGTCTGAAGGCCAGAGATTTCAGGAAGTTTTCATATGACCTTCCTGAGACATAGGTGAGCTGTAACTCTGTACAGTCAAATTTCTCAAACTGCATCGATGATTCAAATGATTTTGTACAATGGAATTATCAGTGCTCTTGTGTTAGCATCTCCGTGTTATTGTAAGCATTTTGGCAGCATCTGAATCAAAGCATATATAGCTGATATTCCCTTTTCTGTTAGACACTTTCACTTGATCTTCCATAATCAATACGAGGAGGCACACAACTATTAAAAGCTGTAGGGAATGTTGAAAAAGATTGAGCCAAGCGTTGACTATAATATTCTTCCCAAATCCAGCCATCAAACAGGCTCTCCACTTGTTTTCCTCAAACAAAACTTCTGGGCACCCTTTGAAGAGTGTATGCCGTGCACCTCACGTAGTTTTGTGATTGAACATACACAATTAAAATACTCAATTAAACCATTTAGATTTCATTTACACATTTAACAATCTTTGAATAAATATTGATTGTTAGCATGTGCACTTTTGCGGCTGCGTCATCAGAGTCTTTCTCTTGCATTTAAAAATTTGTGCACAGACACTAGAGGGTGCTTTGGTGAAATGCAATTCACTCCAAGCAATTCACACTGTGTGAGGAGCGTTAAGGAGAAGAGGATGAGTGATTGTTTATCTGTAAAAAATAAAAACAAACTATACGTTTTCTGGAAAACAAACCACTTCTTATTAAAGCTGGTTTCCGGTGCACAATTTTATCGCAGACTTTGAGTTTATGCCCAGAATCTCAAGCAAATCGGGCTCTTGCACAGATTGAAGCACCAAAATCTGGCTCTGCGAGAGTCACAGCTTAGCAAAATGCCTCTCAAATATCTGTGTCTGTCGGCGAGTCACAAACACAAATGTCTGTGATTGTCTGCAGGCAATGAGAGAGCCACATCAATAAGTTGGAGAGGCATAGGATACAAAGACAAAGACGGCAATTTAAACAGTGATTTCGGTTCAAAAGATGGTTTCTTTTCGGTTAATTCGGACCCAATAAATGAATTGAAAACTTGTGTGCTCCCATTTTCATAACAATCCCGGTCTTGCGCATCAGTGTGGCACACGTGACCGCCGTTTCAAATCTTTCTCGCAAGGTTTTGGTAGTGAGACACAGTTTTAGAACATGGAAAACATTTTCTGTGATTCTTTCTAAAATCCTGCTGTGTGAAATCCTCTGCTGTTTATCTCTTGTGCCGTTTAAATTGTGTATCCTTCTCAAGACAGTCTCTTCTCTTCTTCTGCCCCTCTGATAGTACCACTCCATGTTTTGTTCTCGAGCACCGCCTATTGCTGCCTTTTCGGGCTGAAGACACATGACCAAACAGGCTAATCACAGTGTTTGACGCGCCTTGTAATTAAAGCTAAAGATTTACTGCATGTAGCACCTGCATAAAAAAAAAAAACGCGTAGGTGTGTAAAGGCCTTTATACATCCCTTCTCGCAACACTAAGATGGTCTAGTCCTGACCATGATGATCTCTACAACAGAACTCATTAAAGACTGTCTGTGTTAGAGGCTCAGTTGGTAGAACATTGCGCTAACAACGCAAAGGTTGTGGGTTCAATCCCAGGGAAAGCAAGAACTGACAGAAAAAAAATATGTTCATTCAAATGTAAGTCGCTTTGGATAAAAGCGTCTGCCAAATGCGTAAATGTCAAATAGGTACTGGGTAGAATGGATGCAAAATGGGGATGGTGTTTGCAAGCCTTCCTCACAGTCCAGAAGAACATTTATTTTCCTCAGTGTGCTATTGGGGACATAAAATGAATTATTTGACAAAGGTGTAAACTCAAATGCACTATTACCATAGCAAAAGATAATGCAATGATACCATTTTCCTTTTTTTGTTTTTAATCAAGGAGATTATTTTATTTTAATCAGCAACAAAGACAGACATTCTTAACAATCACCGTGCCGCCAGTTTATGTTATGTCAGCGTGAAAGGAGCTGGTCTTGGATGGGTGATTTATTTCATCTGTTATTATCCGCCTAACATCAAGACACAAAAACTCCCGTTTAGCAAAGCAAAGATTACTATTCCAGAGTTGTATATTTTAAGTACTGAACAGGACATTCATTCTCACACTCTCTTGTTCTCTATAGGCTGCTTCGAGTGCTGCATCAAGTGTCTGGGTGGAGTTCCCTACGCCTCTTTGGTGGCGACTATCTTGTGCTTTTCGGGAGTGGCTCTGTTCTGTGGCTGTGGTCATGTGGCACTCACAGGCACTGTGACCATGGTGGAAAACCACTTTTCTCGTATCACTTCTGACCATGCATCCCTCACTGATGTGTAAGTTAAGCTTCAGCTATTTAATGATCACAAACAATTCTGTCTCTGTCCATTGAGTGAACAATTCAAATTTCTCTGTTCAAATTCTGTTGCTCCATTTATCATTGTGCTTTAGTTGATGATAAGGAAGACTTCACTTTGTTGACATTTCATGAAATCATATCAGAAAATCTATTCTGACTTTATTAGATACACCTGTCCAAGTGCTCGTTAATGCAAATCTCTAATCGGCCAATCACATGGCAGCAACTCAATGCATTTAGGCATGTAGACATGGTGAAAACGATCTGCTGCCGTTCAAGGCAAGGATCCAAATGGGGAAATTTAAGTGACTTTGAGCATGGCATGGTTGTTACTGCCAGGTAAGTATTTTAGTAACTGATGATCTACTGTGATTTGGACGCACAACCATCTCCAGGGTTTACAGAGAATGGTCAGCAAAAGAGAAAAATATCCAGTGAGCGGCAGTTCTGTCTGCAATGTTGCTTCAGACTGGTTTAAGTTGATGGAAAAGCAACAGTAACTCAAAGAGCCACTCATTCGAGGCTCAACATGTTGAACCTTGGGGAGGATGGGCAACAGCAGCAGAAGACCACACCTCCTGTCAGCTAGAACAGGGAACTGAGGTTAAAAGTCGTACAGGTTCATAAAAATTTCACAATAGAAGATTGGAAATATGTTTCCTGTTCTGATGAATCTCAATTTCGGATGGTAGGGTCAGACTTTGGCATCAACGACATGAAAGAGTCTATCGATCCTGTATCAATGATTCCTGTTGGAGGTTGTGGGGGATATTTTCTAGGCAAACTTTAGGTCCATAAGGACCAATTGTGCATCGTGTCAGCACCACAGCCTCGGTGAGTATTGTTGCTGACCATTTCCATCACTTTATGACCACTGTGTCCCCATCTTCTGATGGCTACTTCCAGCATCCTTGTCATTGGCTGGTTTCTCCAACATGACGAGCTCACTGTGATCAAATACCCTCCACAGTCACCAGATCTCAATCCTGTAGATCACCTTGTGGAGGTGGTGGAAAGGGAGATTCGCTTCATTTATGTGCAGCCACAATTGTGCAATTTATACAATCCAGTAGGTTTTTGACTCTATGCCACGAAGGATTAAGGCATTTTTTACTATTTATTAATTTATTTTTCAACCTGCTTATTCCCTTTTTGGGGTCATGGTGCCTATCTCTTGCCAAAATTTTGGCGAGAGGCGGTGGTACACCCTGGACAGGTCACCAGTCCATCGCAGTCATTTTCACCAAGACATGCCTTATTTGTGTTTTATTTAGCTTCTTTACTGATCTTGAGTATATGATTCAAAACATTAAATCTGTTTGTCATGTAAACGGTTGACTTTTATATGTTTTCATGTTAAGTTTTCCTTATTACTATAGTAACTGTAGATAAATATTTTCTGTCTTCATATAGGGTCCAGATTTTGCAGTACATTATCTATGGAGTTGCCTGTTTCTTCTTCCTGTATGGCATCATTCTATTGGCTGAGGGCTTTTATACGACCAGCTCTGTAAAGGAAATGCACAGCGAGTTCAAGACAAGTGTTTGTGGACGCTGCATCAGTGCCATGGTAAGGCCATCAAGCCAAGTCATCCACTGCAGGCTGAGTAAACCAGTATTCCTAAAGCTGGGGCCGAGAGTAACTGCTTTTGAGTAACTTGTAACATTCTTTTCTCTAAATTGTCTGATTGTCTACAATTGATGTATTTATAGTATGACATTTAGTTCACAGTTATGTCTGAAATATTCTTTTTGTGAGTTTATCTCAGCACTAAAATTGTCCAATGAAAAAAAATTGTCAAGTAGTTAATAGATAGTACACAGTAAAATCCTAAGAGTTAAATTAACTCTACTCGGAGTATATTTGGTCCCACTCTATATAGAGTTAAACCGACTCTGAGAAAGAGTAATTTAATAATCTATTTTCTTCATGGTTTTCCAAATCTGCATGGAAAATGCAAACTAAATATTAACTATTCAGAGAGGGACCAAGTCCACTCCAGAAAGAGTAAAAACAGACAAAAATGGACTGTTTAGTTCAAATAGACTTATTTAAATAACTCTCCTTCAGAGTTGGTTTAACTCTATATAGAGTGGGACCAAATGCACTCTGAGTAGAGTTAATCTAACTCTTAGGATTTTACTGTGTATGGTTAGCATCATGGGGAATCACATGGCTATGGGAAAAGAATGTCAGAATGGCCAATCATCTCGAAACTTCTTGCACTGGAGCCAATGAAAGCACTTTCATTGTGTAGTGTAAAATTAGCACCCCCTTTGGCATGCTCACACTCTTCCTGTGATGCTGAGGAGCCGGACCCACATGGCCCACCAAAAGGAGATCCACATCGTAGGGCTCAGCCCTATCCAGTTGGCCACTTGCTAACTGAATCGCATAGCCCAGCCAGATTGTCATGATGGCTTCCACCATGTTCCCAAGCTTAACCAGGATACACTGACCACACTGATCATGAAAATCACTGACAAGATATCAAGCAAGATAACCTGCTGCCAGGCTACTCACTCACTTGATTTTCGGGGTGTGCAATTTGTTAATTCTCTCTAACATCAACTGCCAAATATCAACCAGTTAATGATTCATTTTAAACAATTACGGTAATAAGAATAGAATAGAGACACACTCCCCTGATGACCCTGCTGACTGACTCCGATCAGATTTAAGCACAGCGTTTAGAAATAATATTGACATTAAAATAACAAAATAAATAAGGCTGTCCTTATGAATATGTACAAAAAATGACAATGCGCTGATCTTTTAAAGAAATAGTTTGGCATGCTTTTTGACTAATGAAAAAAAAACACTTCCGCACGGACACCGGGACCTTTTCAAATACGCTTTTACCAGTGTGTGCAGACAGCATAACTGCAGAAAAATAATCGTTTTCAAAATAGCCAGGTACGTGTGAACAGAAAATATGTATGGTTCCCGGGAATGGAGTTGCTACTTACAGTTATATAGCTCTTTGTATGTAACTGCGCTGCATAGATTACAAGTCACTTTGTCTTCTTTTCACGGCAGACAGCACATGTGGGGGCACGACACTTGTGATTACATGTGAGTGCGATACATGCAATCATGGTTGACTCTTTGAGACAAAACAAACGTGTCGCTTTTATGCACCAAAAGAGCATCAACCAAAGAAAGTTATGAAAATAATCCATTTTCAATAAAAATCAATTTTAAACCTCGATCGATTTCAACATCCCTACTTGACACTGGTTGATAGTGGGTGTAGGTAAGTGGGAAATCACTTGAAGTGATGTCTTCTTGTCGCTCTAGGCTGCTGGATATTCTGTTCTCAGATGGCGATTCTGATGTAAAGAGTGTGGAGCATTTATTCATAGTGGGGCTTGATTCTGGCAGCCCAGAGATGAACGGCTCTGACACATAACGCAGAGAGACAGCCGTCGGCACTTTTATTGACACAATGAGTACTTAAGGGTCAGTGGCGGTAAGTGAGCTTCCCAGGGAAGATGGGTCAATCTCTGGGCTGCCAGTCTCTGCAGTGCTTTTTGGTGAACCCTCTCGTGTTTGAAGGCAGGCTCCCACCTCTAATGCCTTAGTGTCACTGTTCTACCTGTACCTGCTTCCACACAAAGTCAACCACTGCAACACTGGAGAGGTCCTCTGGGGAAGCATATTGAAAATCAAGTGGAAGCGTTTGTGCGGCTAAAGGGTTGTAAATACTTTAGGTGTTCTGGCTCTTCGTGTCCCACTACCCTTGATGTCGGAGTATGGAAAATGGGACAATGATGTTTGTTGTGCCATAAACCCACAAACCACAGAGTGGAAGCATCTCTAACCTGATCTCCTTGTTGGCTCAGGAAAGTAAATAAATCTTCAGCTCTGCATCACAGATCGTGCACTGAGCCTGACCCGAGCTTATGTACAGTTAGATTTTAGATTTTATTTGCGATTTCAAACTAACTACATACATACATTTTAAATGTGTTCAGTGCACAAGAGGTGCATAACAAAACTGTGGTAAAATTGTCTTGTGACAACATAAAATAAATAAAGATTAACTAACCTTAACTCTAGTAAATAGCATACTGTACACAGTCGTACTAGCTGCTCAATAAATATAACTGTAATAAATTGTCTTAAAGGGAGGCTATTATGCAAAATCTACTTTATTGTGCTTAATATTGTGTTATAATGTCAGTCCCTCATTAAAAATGCACCTGAATCGTGACTTTGAATCATTCATGAATATTTGAGTAATCCTTGAATCTCCTGAGGT